ACATCTTTTTCTGTTCGTTTACCACGTGCAGCACATTCTCCATACACGTAAAGCAATATTTGTAATATCTCGAAATTCTGAACTACCATGGAATTTATCCAGGTCGTACCATACTATCATGGAACCACAAGTCTTGACCTTGCCAATCTGAAAACTAGTTTACCTGTTAAGGCTCTAGTATTACAATTGACGGTTACAGACTACTTTAATATCACTCTTATAATATAAAATTATAACATGTAATCGTACTTAAAAAAAAGTTAAAGTTACAGCCTATATACTTCCCACTCCTGGGCACAGGGCTCCGCTCATTCCTGAAAGAGTAATCGCACTTATTTTTAAAAAATGGATAGTAAAAAGGTCATATCTGATCTTATTAAGTTCATTTTTAATAACGTTTACTCAAGAAATGACCCTTATCAAGCGGCTAAGTATCTAATTGACCTTATTATTTACATTAACTGATCTATAATTCATCTCAAATAGCAATACCAAAAAAATTATGGTGTCACGCAAACCCATTAAACCCTGGATGACACCAGGTTTACTGAACATAGGGTAACCTGTACAAGAAATATCGCAAAAAAATCCCAATAATTATAATCTTATAATTATCCTATAAAAATACACCGCAATTTAATTCTCCTTTACAAAAAACGATTACCAAAAACTTGAATTTTAAAAAAGCTCTTAAAATTCAAAGATAATATGGATTGTCATTCGAAATATCACAAACCTAACTAGTGTAAAGAACTCAAAGTCAATAACAACTAATCATTTAAACAAAAATGATCCCCAAATTCATTTAATCCAATTAATACTTATTTCGTTTGTGTGGGAAAGCAACATGCAGAAAATACAAACGAAGTTGTACCAACTGATTCAAACTCTGCGCAGCGGGCAGAACCTTTTATACTGATCGAGAGTGACGATACAGAAGTAAAGTGATTGATTATGTCTCTGAAAATCAATTGTGTTACTCGATGGGATAGTATTTCTTATAACTTTTTAAAGAAACATAAAGATATCATAGTCCTTCCACTCACACACATCTGCAATTTGAGTCTCAATGCTGGTATTTTTTCTGATATGTTTAAGATCCGGTTTTTAAGTCCACCTGACTTAAAAATCGGAAATGTGTCGAAAAATACAGGCCAATTTCAGTGATATCCGCAATGTCGAAAATACTTGAGAAAATTCTTCACTACCAAACAGTTTACCTGTTAATCAATTTGGTTTCCGAAAACAATTATCCACTGATGATGCTATACAAAAATTAGTAAATCATATAATCATATATTGAACTCGATGATAAGCAAAAATGCGTAGTCATGTTTCTAGCCCTTGCTAAAGCTTTCGATAGATTTTCAATCCCTGTCTTGATTTCTAAGCTTGACTGCCTGGGAGTAAGAGGAACTCAGCTACCCCTATTTCACGGTTATCTTACAAATATGGTTCAGCGTGTGAAAATTGGCTCATACCTGAGTACCTCACAACCCATTATCTATGGTGTACCTCAGGGTACCTGAAGATACAGCACTTGTTTTTGCGGCCAGTTCTTGAAGTGAAAGATACCAACGAGCACAAAAAGGATTTGATGCTGTTAGGAAATGGCTCAACAACTACCTACAAATACAAAACTAAAGCACAAAATTTTTCTGTACGAAATAGTTTTCAATCATTAAGCTATATATATATTTCTACCAAAGGTGAGGCTACTAAATTCATTATGCAAATTGAATGAGTTCATAGAGCTGTGTTATTTTAAGCCTCGTTTATATTCTAGAGAAGTACTTTATAAGCATTGCCAAGTGTTGGCTGTACGGTAAGTTTTTATATTGTATACAGGTCTTAAACAGCACGCTTAAATATAAATATAATAAAAACACTGCGCGACGCAATCTTCTTGTCGCCAAATCTATTCCTCCTAACACATATTCCAGTCACAGGTTTTAAGTATTCCTAGACACTAACCTTTATAATAAATTGTATCAGAAATAATTAAGCTACACTCATTAAATTATTTTAAAATTAAATGCACTCCGAAATATATCATGCATATTATCGGTAGCGTAACAATAATGGCTTTTAAATCAACTGTACACTGAAACTGATTGTTGACTGATATTCTGAAATAAACTTGTTGTTGTATTCTTCATACACACACACACACACACACACACACACACACACACACACACACACACACACACACACACACACACACACACACACACACACACACACACACACACACACACACACACACACACACACACACACACACACACACACACACACACACACACACACACACACACACACACACACACACACACACACACACACACACACACACACACACACACACACACACACACACACACACACACACACACACACACACACACACACACACACACACACACACACACACACACACACACACACACACACACACACACACACACACACACACACACACACACACACACACACA